GGGAATTTTCACGAATGTAAGCTCGTCTTGTTTACAAGTCACATACCAAGCAAAAATCAGGAATCCCATTCGCTAGAAATAGATGTGTTATTTCATCATTGCTAGCCGGCTTGGTGTTTAAAACAAAGTGGCAACCACGTGTACAGTCAACTAAACATTCAGTTACTCGATATTCTGCCCACAGAATGCATTCCTGTTTCCTTCCCATATCAGAATAGTTGTTGTTTTCCGAAACGCCATTAATCGACAACTATTCTTCGCAATAGAGGTGCAGTGAAATAGAAACTGAATTTGTTTAAATATTAATTAGACTACAGTTCAAGCTTTTAAAATGGCAACTTACTGCGAAGGCTTTGTTAGTTACAGACAGTTCACGCCCTCGTTGTCTTGTTCCTCCAAGATCTGTTTTAATATTAATTTATCCAACCATTTATGACTGGGGTAGGAATTGAATGTTTAAATATTAGACGAGCTTCGACCTCAAAAGGTTAATAATTTTTTATGAATTCTGCTTTTGGTTGTTATAATAAAGAATGAAACTCTAGTGTTAATATGGCGGTAAATCTATACGCGTTGAACATTGGATGTATGTGTCATCCATGGCTTTAACTTATTACGCAGCGCCTGTGACTTCAGGCTTCGATGACTAGTGCTGTGGGCAAAAGGCCAACATCTAGCTTAATACAAACAAGTAAATCAGGAAGAAGCGACGGTTAACACGACAACGAACCGCAACAGATTTAGGGAATGATAACTTGAAAAGGTGGACAAAAATAAATAAGTTACTAAGGAGAAAAGTTTTTTGAATTTAATAAAACAATTTACAAGAGATCATGAATGCCAATTTTGGACATTTTTCAAGTGTATGTATACAAAGATATCTACGCTAATATCTTCGCAGTGAAGAGCCCAAACATCGGCTAAATGAGACTTCTGCTGGACTCTGCCCAGACGTGCTCCAGCATGCATGTATTTATCATTGCATCACTAGTCTCCTGACTGACATGTCTGCTTATTTTCACAGGAGACACAAGATGGCTGTGGCTGTTGCAGTTGTTCTGTCAAGAATAATTAAAGCTGCTGCGGTAAATGGTGAGGAAACTATACAAATATTTATCACATCCGTTAGAAGGTTTAAAAACGCTCTGTAGTTCGAGCTACCCGCATGAATGGTTACGTGGCGAGAAACGGAACTATTTATTCAACATTACGTGTTGCTATGCGACCTCACCATTCTCCAGACTTCAGCGCCCTCACCAACTAGATAACCACTGGCCTTCGTCGGTTTAGACCAATGACTGACTTCTCGTGTACATGCAAAGTCTCCAGGTCTAACAAGATGTTTAGATAATGAAGACCCTTGCATTCTCGAGTTGTTAAGGTTCGCCGAGTTTGATCTCTGTGTATGCCAAAAGGCCGCATTGATGATCACTCACGCTTAACCCCTGGTTATCACAAAGTACATTCTTGTTGTTACCATGACAAAAATAATTCAACAATATGAGATGATAACATTCCTTTTCTGTTCCACGTATGATCTTGAAAAGATACACCCTTTTTTAAACACAGGGCAAAGTCCTACTTGAAAAGGTGATAATCACTCAGTTTGTCAGCAAAATTTCTGGTCTTATATTAAACGCGAATGTTCATTACCATGTTTACAGAAGTCTACGGGTGGTTTCTGTACTGAGCCAGCTAAATCCGATCCACACACACACGCTGTTTCCTTAAGCTCCAGTTTAATATTATCCTTCCTTGTACGCCTAAGTCTCCCAACAGTTCTCTTCCCTTCAGTCAGTGACGAATTTTCTGTAGCCTAATTCGGTATATATGACCGTTTCTTTTCCTTAACTATGGGATGCCAATTGCCAAATTTACAACGAAAAATTAGGTTTGCAATAAGAAGTGACGCCAGCCATCGTTGTTGGACTTATTAAGACGTATGCCTGTGCTTCAGTCCCGCGTTTTTAGACATCCTTCGAGCCAGAAAGCTTGTGTGTTGTGAAAGCGACATGAAACGGCACTTGCTTAGTTTGTGAGACAGTTTCTTAAATCTTATTTTTCGGATGAAAATAAACTGCAGTGAGCGGAATCGAAAAGAAATACATGTCTTTCGCCGGTATATCTCTTTGTACTTAGTTTGTGATATTCGGGGTGGAAACGTAAAGTAGGCCTAACAGAAAAAAATTCACAAAAGTTTATTGCTTGTAGTCTCCGGTGTCATCAAAAATCTTGTTTGGTGCCAATGATTCACAATCCTTGCGTAAACTTGTTGCTAGTTCACTTCCTTCTAGGAGACGAAATATTCATGGAACGTGGGTATGTTCGTAGTTGTTTTCGGCTTCGATCATTGTTTCCGTCTCTCCCCATCAAGAGAGAGAGAGACAGCGAAATTATTTGAATGATAAAAATTAATTTACGACACGATTTTGATGTGCAGAAGAAGGAAGTTGGCACATAAACATTATGAGGTTTCCTCACGCAAATTCTGTTCCAATCCCTGTTGCATGTTTGCTCTTACTGGGAGACCATTAGTTGGATTAGGATAACAGAAAAAATCGTTACAAGTTTGCGGATGTACAGTCGTGTTAAAAAGCTTCGTTATCAAGGCCCAGGCACATAGACGCAGTACGCTGTAAAATCGAAAGTTTGCTCTCTTCCTTTTGGCGTGTTTATACTATTATTCGCTGTGATTAATGGAACGTATCGGTTGTACGATAAGCGTTTCTGCTTCGTACTTCGGAGATCACGGGCTCGAATTTTTGTGCGGAAACTTGACAATCTTGGCTTATGTTTACATTGGTTCCCTCAATTACGCAGGCAAATGTTGAAATCCTAAATGCCACCCGCCAGCTTTAATATACAAATAGCCTACGTAATTAGGCACGTTGCTAACTCGCTAGCATAAAAATACATATCCCGATTTACAATAATTCTTATGGCATCGTTATGAAAACAAAATATTTCTCATGATCCATACCATTATTTTCTATTTTATTAAGTAACTGCCTTAGTGAAAGCGGCAAGATCTTCGAATATCTATAACCATAAAACATTAAATGACACTCATGTTATTCCCACCTCACAATTTCGCATGGACGACATTTCAGGGCAGGGTGTTACAAAGCATAATCTTCACACACACAATCTGCTCACTAACAGGACTGCGAAAAAGGAAGTTTAAACGAAAATACAAACAAAGAAACATTTGCGACCTAATAATAACGGTATCAGTACTTTAACAAATTGTAATGTGCATAATAAATAGTGACGTCAGAATCACAGGATTATGATTTTTTCTTGTCATAAAATTCGGAAACCATCCCAGCCACTGGCGACAGAATAGTTTCGTAAAGCGACAGGTTTTATTTTCCATTTCAGGGCTGTATACATATCGAAAATTGTTATTCTAATTGATGGAGTAAAAGGAAATTGCCCTTAAATTGAGGAGAGGGTGTACATGTTCTGTAGTCGTCGCGATGGCAGCGAGTCTAGTTGCTAGATTGTATCTTTCAGTAATGCAACAGAACATGCGAGAATGTAAGTAATCACTCTATATCTTTTTCATTTTTAGTTCTCAGAAAAGGCCTTCTGTTCCGAAGTAGCTGGTAAGGGTTCTCCTTGAAAAACATGAGATAAAGTGTTGTGTGTGTGTACTCGAGTTATCTTCTAGTCAGTAGGTAGGCAATGGGTTCGAGATGAACCGACTGGAGCTATCGTTCTCAGGAGGAGACCTGGCAAAGGAAAGAGACGGCAAAGAGAAATATGATCAATCAATCAATCATTCATTCATGACTTTTTAAACGGGAGGAAAGGTTGGGTTTCTACAGAAGCTTTCCTGAAATTCTGTATAACAGGCTGCTTTCGTTTACACCATTTCTGAAGGTAGTAAACAGTTTGTATAAGATAAAGCATGAGAATTTAAAGATAAGATTCTGACCCGTCAATTTGCGCATCCTCTTAGCAAAATACCAGAAAGAGGGCATAAGTAAAACGTATTACTTCGGAAGTTCATTATCAGATGGAAGAGTAATGTATAAAAATTGCAGGCCAACAAGGAATCCTTTTGAACTCTCGAAAAGTTGAAAAAAAATATATTAGAATTCGAATATGCCAAAGCTTATATGTGATTAAGAAGCCTGGGTGAAGTCAATCACAGCTGATGAAGTGAAATTCACCAGACGGATCGCAGAATCAAAACTGCGGATGAACTAAAGATCAAATCGTCATTGAGAAAATGTTTGAACCGCAGAAAGAAATTCATTCTCACAATTGGCAATGCAGAGAGATGGGCTCCCAAAAATAAATGGTGAAGTGCACACGAATGCCGACAAGAAACCGAGGACAAGAGTTGAAGTGGCTGTTGGACGAGTTCAAGAAACTGACCAACTTCCAACAGTTTAATAGTGACGGTGGTTCAGAAAGGACTAGGTAATAAGGCCCACTTCAAGGAACTGTCTTGGCTTTCATTGTCAGTCAAGCACACGCGCAGCATGGTGTTAACTCGTCCTTATCAACTTTGTAATGGACAACGAACACGAATTACTTGTTGCTGTAAGCAATTTTACTCGTGTAAATAATTATTAAAAGTGTATTGAAATCGGCGTGTTATTTGTAACTGTCGTTATTCGTGTGGAATAAATAGTTTACATCCAATGTGACGCAATGATGACACTACATATTTCGGCGTAGGCTATTTTCCGTTACCACCGACAGGCAATTCAAGGTCAGCCGACGTAGGATAAATTCCGAAACGATGCATTTTTCTACGCAAACTGTCAAACTTTTTGGCTGAAAAATTAATTGTAAGGCTTCTGCCATCCCAAGACAGGAAGAAACATGAATAGACACTAAGCAGGAGATTCGAATCTAGTCGTCCCCGTCCGAGCTACAACCCCAGTCTACAGCAGTTTCCTACATTTTACGGTCCTGGCCGTATTAAATTACGATTTAACTTCTGCAGGTATTATTTAGCGATACGGTAGATGAAATTCTTTGAGTAAAGGTTTACTTGAATGGCATTAACGCAATTCGTGCTTTAAGTAAAGCAAGTACACACCACTGACCTTGTGACGTGTTTACTCTCACAGCTGTGATAACAAGACTCCTTCCATGTGTACAAGCTGCTTACAGCTCCCGACAGACACCTTCACACGCAAACAACAATTACAGACCTATGATACATATTTTTCTCATTTGCTTTGCCCGTTTCAGGTCGAAATATTTTCTTCGGCACTTTATTTTCAGGTGCGTGTCTTCGCCCTGTGTGCTCCACCCTCATTGTAAGAGACCACATTTCTTACCATGTAGTAAAAGTTATTATTTTTATGTTTCAGCATTACTGTCATAATCTGAGATAACACCAAATGCATGTAGTAACTGCTAAGTTAGCCTTTTTTGCTGCAGTAATGCCGAAATGATATGTAATATTTAAGATAAATTGTACAACACGAAATGCATGTATATATATTGTATATATTGATAAAACGGTACGAACATGACAGAAATCTAAAAGGGTGGGTGAGACTTTAGGCCTAAAGCTACGTTGCAACCACACTTTCTCATTGGATTTAGATAAGGAATCAAGGAGGAAATATTACTTTAGTTTCCATGCTGTATTTCAGATTAAGTCCTCAGATTTTCACTAAAGAAACTGGTGTATGAAAGGTTAGAATGAAAAAAATACGTATGGTATCTCCACGGGTGGTCACTCACCAACACATTTACAGACGATTAATATTTGACTGGGGAGAGGAGATTATAGTAATGTATTTTATTCGTTACCCTACACAGTACAAGACCGCGACATGCAAGGCCTAGGTAGGTACTCGACTTAATTGCTGAAGTATCTGTGAGATGATAAATATTACTGTAGTTTTCTGCTTGAAGTTATGCCGAACACGTTACTGCATCTGACATGGATAAAATACACAATCGTGGTCATTGCATCCGCAGTACATGAAATTTCATTGCCAATATTAGAATTAGTCAGTTTTGTGTTAATTGCTTGTAGATTATCATACGATTGGTCGAATAATCCGATGATGAGATGAGATAATAATCTTCAGGAAACATTATGTGAGCTGGATCTAACTTGCTCAAGATAGGGCCCAGTTGTAGGCGCTTGTGAAGACGGTAATGAATATAGGGTTCCATAAAATGTGGGAATGTCTTTCTTAGCTTAGCGACTGTTTCCTTTTCAAGAAGGTCTATTGCAGTTTCGGGAATATTAAGTCAGTTACTTGACATACCATTTTAAAATTTACAATATTTTCATGCAGTAAAACCTACAAAGATATTGATTTTTTTGAATGAGATTTTCAATTTTGCTGTCTGTAATTTGGAAAGTCTACAATAAACTAGTTCATGTCTGTTCATGGAGCTGACTGTACCACTGGATGTGATAAGTGGCTGCTGCTGCTGGGATAGAACATCAAGAAGCCATACTCAAGGACTGTGACGCAATTGGCATGTCGTTTGTTTGGTGACCGCTACATTCATACTACTAGATACAATATGGGCCTACTCCGCATTCTAGCTTGCAGCCAATCGGTCTGCCTCGGGGTTACAATTCAAAGATTTAGCTTGTAAGAATTGAGGTCATACATGAACAAATTCATGTTTCCTAAAATGTGTTTTTATTTTATTATTAGTCGCAGTAAACGTGAATATTTGGGTTAATCATCACATTCGTCGGATAATTTTAAGTTCAGAATTGGGCCCAGGGATTGGTTGGGGAACACAATAATGTGGAGTTCCCAGAAGGCGAAAAATTTCTCGAGTCCTTGTCAGTTTCTTAAGCAGGACTCTCTGAAGCACTTCGGTCTTAAACTTGAGGCAGAATGTTTCTTTGAAATGCTGGTATCTACCCAAAAGCCGGAACCCAGAAGAACAACATTCACATCTGCACTGCCATGAAAACCTCAGATCTCATTCGTGTTATGGTGAGGTGCTGTATTGTTATTCTGTGCTTGCAGAATACAGCCGGGTGGCGACTGTGGTATTAGTAAGATGGTAACTTCATACTGACTGCTTAGCACCAATTAGACTTCTTAAGTTACCTTGTACAAAACGCTACTTCTCTGGTAGGAACCGAGTCCGTCTGTTCAAGTGCTAACATTTGTGGCTTGCATATGCGATGATCCCGGAGCCTACAGTCCATCTCGACCAGAACACCAACTATCCTGACTGAAATTTTCGTGGTTTCGCACGCTCCAGGCGAAATCCAGGACAGTACCTTGAGAAACAGGTCACGGCATCTTCTTCCCTAATATTTTTAATGTTAGCGAACGCACTGTATGTAAATTATTTTCAGTTGAGGGGCATTACTTAACGACGCTGTATCCATTACAGTCGTTAGTTAACGTCATATTATCGCCTAATGGTAATATCATTTCTAAAATAGAACATTGTCACCTAGCGTCGTTACGGAGAGCGTGGTCAAACACGGATAACACACATATAGACCCTGGGGAAGGAATACAGAGAAAATAGGGACGGAGACAAAGGTACGTAAGGGATACAGAAAAAGAAGAAAGGGCTGGAGGGATGAAGTTACGAAAGCGATTATCCCCCGCGGATATTTCCCATTAGTATAAATACATTACACTACCAACAACGGTAGTCTGAATAGTTTGAATTGCTTTTTAATTTAACGAGAATAGTGAGATACGTGAAGCTCGGGCTTACGGGGATAAAACGCGTAGAATATTGAAAGCTGGAATATTCTCACTGAAGATGGCAACTACAATGTTTACCGAAACTTTATGTAACTTTCTCAACTCGGTTCATCCTAGAAATCCGACGTTTTACACCAAACACCAACCGCGAAAACCTAAGGACATGAATGTTGTAATATGTAGGCCTGTATTACACCTTCATACAGAGTGGCGCCCCACACTGCCAAATATTAATTTGCTTCATAGATTTCAACAGAGAATAAAAATGTGTTTAATTATAACGAACTTGGTTCATGCGTACAGAAGCAAAAGCAGTTGGGTATAAAGACTGGAGACAGCAGACTGTACAGACTATGAATACGCCAAGCATCTATGAATACCTTTTCTTGAGCTGTGAGTGTGCCTACTCGCATATTACGTACAACACAAATCAGCAGTCAACACAGACTTCCCGATATGCAAGCTGCTGTGGGAACTTCATGTGGTGTATGCCTGTTAACTTTATTTGTTCTGGACAGGAGTCTGATTTATCGACGTCTTAACTGTCTCTGCAGGAGAAACGTTTTGACGCGTGATAGGAATATGAGCTGGATGGAACGACTTGGATTTTTAGAGAACACTATGCCGCTATATTTTATTAATATAATTGATATCCTAGAGTAGGGAGAAGCAGAACATCTTTTTTCTTAACTTTATGAATTATGCAGAGGAATGTTTCAGTATGAAAAATTATGTCATTTCGTTCCACATACCAGAAGCCTAAGTTTATTTAATCGATCTGGGAAGTGCAAGACCATCTGGGCAAGATTCAGTGTCATGTTGAGAGAGACACGGTCTTGCTTTGTACATATGGGGCTTATTATTAAATCACGTGCTATTAAAGATGTCTGTCTTCTGAATTGTTGAGTCGTGTAGTCTCGTAGAAGTTTGCCAACGTTTCAGAGGTACTTGCTGCCTCCATCATCAGGGCGATGAGTATGAAGATTTTTGTCTTCTGGGTTGTTGCGCTGTGTAGTCTCGTAGAAGTTTGCCAACGTTTCAGAGGTACTTGCTGCCTCCATCATCAGGGCGATGAGTATGAAGATTTTTGTCTTCTGGGTTGTTGCGCTGTGTAGTCTCGTAGAAGTTTGCCAACGTTTCAGAGGTACTTGCTGCCTCCATCATCAGGGCGATGAGTGACTCATCCTAATTAGCCTAACAGTGTCAAGTGACAAGTAAAAATTACAAAGCTCGTGTTTTCCTCGAATCATTGCTACCGTGACGAAACATTTTATATATTTATTATTTCTTAAAAATTTGACTCTTTCCGGTCTATAAACTAGAATATAAGTTCTTGCTCGTCTTCTCAGATGAAGCTGAACAAGATTCACAGACGCTAGTTCGGACTGTACTGTATAAGATGATAAGTAGAGGGGAGTCTGGGTGGGAGTGGAGTGCGTATCTTTCGTTCCACACATGTTAGATCACTTCTCTATAAACCACTGGCTTACAGTTTTTATTACGTTGACAGTTTAAATAAGGCCTATAAATAAGAAATGGTTACATTTACGTTTGTATGTAATACGTTACTGTTACAAGCGACCAAAAGGAAATAATAATTTATTGAAAAAATATTAATAACCGTATAGTAGAGGGACATTACATTGGACTTCATTTTGTAAGTTCATGCCGTTTTCTCATACATATGTCTACGGCTCTAAATCATGTTAAATCATATAATAATATTTTAATGTGAAACTTCAGCCCTGAAGATGTCGACATTATTCTTTTCGAAAACTTCTTCATTCGATAATCAAGAACTTGGAAGACACAGGGCACCCCAACACGCATTTCGGTTACGTATTTAATTTAGTCTACTTGATTCAGAAGCCATAATATCATTTCATCCAACTGCTGATAGATTGCAGTATTGAGCACAAATTAATAATTGACTTGAACATGACCCTAAACAGCGCACAGTCCCTAACAAAACGTTCTGCAAAAGAAAGGCCAGAACAAATTAAATTCTAGTCCCAACAACAGCACGCTAAACCTCTACGAGAAGGCTATTATTCTACGTTACGTCCGAGATACGAAATCCTTCGCTCATCGCCCTGGTGATGTAGGTAGTAAGCTTCTCTGAAACGTCGGTCAGTTTGTACCAGACCACAAAACACAACTTTCTAGGTGACGAGGATTTTCGTGTCAGTCACGCAATACAAACTGTTGTATATCTCATTCAAACTCCAAGCCCTAGGTGTAGATGAGAAAACTGGTTCTTAGCGAAATAATATTAGATAATGTGCAATGGATTCATCTGGTGCAGGACAGGATCCGGTGGCGGGCTTTGGTTAATTCGGTGATGAACCTTCGGGTTCCATAAAAGACGGAGAATGTATTGACTGGCTGAGACTGCTCCGTGGAGTTTAGGCTGCTTGCATTGCACTGTTACTGAACGACAAACTTTTCTTCATTCCTTCCCTTCTTTCTTCCTCCCTTCTTCTCTGTCCCTCTTCCATTTTCCTCCATTCCTTTTCTTCTGTATTTCGTCATCGTCTTCCTTCTGTATTTTTCTCCCTCGCTTTACTTTTACTGCTTTCTTCCTTCCAACAAGGAATGAGCCGGCGACATATTGGTTGTCACCCACAACGGATAAGATGGAGGCTGATAGCAACTTAGTGGTGTTATCGTCATGGTCAAGGGTTAGCGTGTAACATTTCTCTTGTTTCTCTGTTTATAGAATGAAGAAACTTCGAGTACCACAAGCTGAGAACTACCTGGTGATGAAAAAGCTCCATCTTGAATGACAGTGAGGAGGAGACAGGTGAGTACGCATCGCGTTCACACACACAAGCTGCCACTCAAGATTGCAAACCAGGTATTTGTCATGGTTACATCCAGAGGTGGAGCATTCGTGTTAGCCGTGTTGGCCGGGCTAACACGAGTTAAATGAACGCACCGGCACTGCGTTTGAATTCCTGTTTGCATAATCCATCTCTTCTGTGAACATTCACTTCTTTTAATCTTAACCGACAGTCACCGATCATAGATAACCGTCGACGTTCCAGACTGGCGAATTACTTATTTTCGCTCATTAACAATAATTTACTGTTAAAGGTGGATGCTCTTTTAATGGTCGTTAGAACAACGACGTGTTGCTATGGAGGTCGCTAAGGCATAGCCTTGTTTCAGTCCAAAAGAGAGGAAACGCTTATTCACAGCAGGCAGCGGCAACACGAATGTTAAAACCAGAAACAAGACAAATTGTTTTCGATCCATACTGATAAGATAAATACTGTTTCACTATTAGAAAGTTCAGATAGACAAATTTCTGTCAATGTCAGATGGTCGGTTGTTATCGTCAGGACGCCGCTTGGTGGACTAAGACGTCTCATCAGCAACGACCGTACAAATATATTGACTGCAGAACGTCGCGGCCGAGTGATTCCTGCTTCTTATTTGAGAAGCCCCGGGTTCAAGTCTCGACCCCGAGACCGTCTATCCTAAGGTTGTTCGTAGTTTTCCTCATTCCCTCCAGGAAAGTGCCGCGATAGTTGGTGCCTTAAATCAGACCATGACCGCTTCCTTCCACATCCTTTCCAGTTCATTATTTATAGACCAGCTTATCATCCGACGCTGAGCTACTGATAGCGTCGGAAAATAAACCGAAAATAAGACATGTTGTTCCACTCACAGTGACTAGTAAGAAAGGAGGGTGGATGTGTTTGTTAGAAGTTGAATTTCTGTTTTATGCGAGACGTAGACTCAACATACAGATTCATATATCCGTCATGCTAGGAATTTTCCCGGAGGGACTGAGAGAACAACAAAAGACTTCAGCCAGGATCGCCGGTTTCCGAGTCGATATTTAAATACGAGACCTCAAGATATAGAGCATGAATGCTATCCTCTCTGCATTAACGTTTTGTATCGTTCCCTAAGATCTGAAAACAGTATGAAGAACGGGGTTTTTATTACGTTTGTGGTATTTCAGTGTAGGAAGGACAACTGAAACGGTCGTTAAGTTTTCGATCTGTTTTGATTCTCTATTCTAACAGACGCTAGAATTCCACTCCATCTGCTTACAGTCAAGATCATCATAGACTGGGACGTGACTTGCGTTGAACGAACGCACAGAGTGGTACATTTTTTTATCGACTTATCTTCCCTTCGCGTGTTTTGTGAAGCGCTAAGGAGGAGGAGTGGTGAACATGTGGGTAACATAGTAGAAAACTGTAATAAAATGGCGGGTAAACGGCGTTTTAATTCTTGGAGGGGTGCGATTAGTGCAATAAGTTAGGAAACTATGGATCGGTAGTCAGAACTGTCGCGTTCGTGCTGTGACGGATTCAATATTTTCTTAATCTAACTTTTATTTGATCTCTTTCAATATAACTTACCTTTTATATGAACTCTAAACTCAATAGGTCTAAACAGTATTCAATCTGTAGCTCCAGATATTCCTTCTTAGCCCTAAACCATACACTTACTTCCTCCTCAAATAAAACTTTGTCTCGGTTTTCGTAACGTTACGTCCACGCAGGTGGGGAATCAGACAGGTCTGTTGCAGGAATGGGCTTCGTAGTTTTCAGTTACGTTAAAAATTAGCTTCCCTCCTTACTACGTGGCTCTAGAGTCCTTGAAGGACCTTGGCCGCCGTCTCACATATGGGAGGTTTCTTAAGCTATTTAGACGACGACGGGGCCCCTACCTCTACAGGACAACACAACACAGAACGACCGTGCCTTGCGCGGCAATCAAGGCCCGCGCCCCAGATGGCGAGGCCCCCGTAACCGGCTAATAATGATTAAGCAACTGGTAAAAAGCCTATACGAGATTTGAGGTTTCAAGGGCGCTAACAATGCCGATTACGAACTTCTGGGTTATGATACCGTGTGGCCTTTAGGAATACGGCGTCACAAATGAGAAGAGTTGGGATTTGTGATAGACAGTTTTCCACGAGTCCTTCGGTTTTCGCCCGTCATTCATGTATCATCTAGAGGTCGAACAATGGCCACAGTTCGACAGACATGTAAT